AGGGTGCCCAGCGGGCGCTCGGTGATGTCCATCCCCACAGGGACCTCAAGCCCACCAACGTGCTGCTGGATGAGGATGACCGGCCTGTGCTGATGGACCTGGGCTCCATGAACCAAGCTCGCATTGAAGTCAACAGCTCTCGGGAGGCCATGGCCGTGCAGGTGGATGCCCTGGGACATCACCCCACTAGCCCATCTCTGCCCTGAGCCTTTCATCCCCACCCTCACCTTCCTCTCTGTAGGACTGGGCTGCCCAGCGCTGCACCATCTCCTACCGTGCTCCCGAGCTCTTCACGGTGCCGAGCCAGTGCGTCATAGACGAGCGCACAGATATCTGGGTAAGGATCCGGCCCCCCGGCCCCCGGCCCCCCACCACGGGGCTGCCCTGACCCCGCCGGGCTCCAGTCCCTAGGCTGCGTCCTGTACTGTATGATGTTTGGGGAGGGCCCCTACGACGCCATCTTCCAGAAGGGTGACAGCGTGGCCCTGGCAGTGCAGAACCCCATCACTGTGCCCCCCACGACCAGGTGAGGTGCTGGGGAGGGTGATCCTGCTCCCAGGCAGCTCCCTGTGCTGTGCACCATGCAGAGCCCCCCCTTGCTGCCTTTCCTCCAGGTACTCGGCTGCCTTACAGCACCTGCTCTCCTCCATGATGACGCTGAACCCCCAGGAGCGTCCCAGCATAAATGATGTCCTCCACCAGCTTGCAGCCAGCGCCGGCGGGCCAGGACACCACGCAGATCTGAGCCCGTCCCACCCCATGGCGGCGATGTGCCCCGAGGATGAGCCAGGGCAAAAGCAGTTGCCTTCATCCCTGCTCCCCCGCGGAGCTGTTGCAGAGGGGATTGCTGCACTTGGGGGAGAGCTGCTGCTCTGTGCCAGAGGTGTGTTGGATTTGGAGTGTTCTGTGCCCTGGATGCTGCTGCCTGGGACTTGGTCTGTGCGCCAGAACTGTGGATGTGTGATCTGCTGTTAAACACGGGGCCCTTGCTGGCCGCTGCCTCCCCTGGGGGTTGCAGCGGAGGATGCTGTGGGACCCCCCCGAGTGACGGCAGCTGTGGCCCTGCAGCTTTGTGCCCCAGGAGGGTCACTCCTGCCTGGGGCAGGGCTGTGGTCCAGGTCCCGGTGCGGTGCTGGAGCAAGGCAGGGGGGACCCAGCACCCGCTCCGCCGCTGCTCTCAGCGCCAACGTTGCCTTGTGTTTGGAGTAAAAGATGTTCTTGTGGACGTGTGGAGGTGTCCCTGTCTGCGGGGATGGGGTCCCGCTGAGGGCACGAGAAGAGCAGGGCACGCTGTCTGGGTTGAGCAGCCAAGCGTTGCCAGAGGGGAAGGGCAGCAGAAGACAGCCCTGGCAGGGCGGCATGGCCAGAGCACGAGAAATAAGCAGGGAAAGTTAATCCCTGGCCCCAACGCACTCCTAATGGGAGTAACACGACTCTGCAGCTGGAGCCAGGTGCCACTGTTCACAGCCTCCGGGGCCAGGCACTGCAGGAAGGGGGCTCAGCATGGTGCAGGCAGGCAGGCAGTGGCAGGGGTACAGGCAGAGCTTCTCAGCTGCCCAAGGAGTGTGAGGTGGGTGCTGAGGCTGGGGAGCTGCCGGAGCGTGGGGAGAAGGGGCAGCAGCCCTGATCCGGTGGGGGCAAGCAGAGCCTGGGGACAGCACAACCACCCTTGGCTGGAGAGGCTCACTGGGACACGCTGCAGGTGAGCTGCCCGCAGGGCTTGGCGGGGAGGGAAGTTAAAAAAAAAAAAAAAAAAAAGATGCAGACAAGCGATTTCACAGGGAGCGTTCCCCTCCTTTAATCCTCTCACCACAACACAGCAGAAAAGCAGCCGCGGGGGTTCATGCCACGCTGGATGCCCTTGCAGGGTGCACCCGCTGCACCGCAGAGCCGGGCATGCCCCTTGTCCCTTACTGTGGCCACAGGGACAGGGGTGCCAGGCTGCTCCCACTGCTTCAACCAGTCTCCTTCCAGATGAGCCCACCTACTCTCTGGCTGCACGTGGGAAGAAGTCCCAGCAGCTGCGGATTTTTCCTACTCAGGCTAAATCTGCTCCCCTGGGCTCCAGGATATAACACGGGGCCATATACATATGGCCATATACCACACAAGGAAGCGGTACCCACCCCTGGCTGGAGCAGTGAGTGGGGCGAGATGTGTGCCACGGCCCTGGGGAGTGGCCCTGGGGGCTCTTACCTGCGTGGGGAGCAAGCTGGAGCTGGAGCAG